ATCCAAATGGTGAAAAGAGAACTGACTCCTAAAAATTGTCTTCTGAACTCTGCATGCATGTGATAGAACGTGAGTGCCCACACACACACATACATGTACACAATACATAAGTAAATGGTGGGAAAGGGTAAAATGTTTGTCAATAGGCAAGTGACGGTGAAGTTGATGTAAACAGGAGCTGGGGGTGTGAGTAACCACATTGGAGGTGGAGGCACAAGTGTCAGCATTTCAATGTCTTTCAATGAAGCTACCATGACCAAATTGGGGACCAGGAGAGGAAGGGGTGTTGTGTCTGCAATCCTAAGGTCATTATAAGGGACAAGAGCCTCCAGAGTGGACTCACTACTCTATGAGTGTTGTAAGCACAGAGGACTCTTGAGGGTGAAAGACACATTCAAGCTCCTGCCCTTGTTCTTCTCTTTATGTTGGCATCACGACTGTGTACCTTTTGACAGGAGCCCCATGGCTTCTCCTGCTACAGCTTATTGCTCCCCAATTTTACACCAGCACTTATATTGAGTTGGTAAGTAAAAGAGCCAGGGATCATGATGATTCCATATTGGAGATCAGAGATCCTGGCATTCCAGAAGTACTTCAGATGCCATGCTATGTCTGTCCAGAAGACCATGGAAGGAGCAGAAACGCCAGAAGTGGCTTTGCCCTGCCTGCTGGCTATTGGCTTCCTGTGGCTTCTGCCTTATCAGTTCTTCTGCAATAAGAACTTTGCCCCATCCAATCAAATGTCCACACCTTCACCCATAAAAGTACAAATTCCTGCCTGAGCCAAGCAGATCTGTTCTGTTTCCTGCTGTGAGACTCTCACCTTGCAGCAGCACAGGTTTAAGCCTGAGATTCAACCATGCCTTTGGCTAGACTTCCTGACTGGCTGTGTGTTGTAGCCTATGCGCTCCTTCTTCTCCTCCAGCATGTTCATGGTGAGACTATCTTAGTGAGCAGAAGGGACATGGGTCAGAGCTGCTCCGGTTCTGTAGAATCAGAGGCTGATCTTGTGGGATGGAAGGCAACAGGGAAGAAAAAGGAGCTGGTGGAGAATGACAGATGACAGGATGGGGATTGAGTGCTTGCTAATGATGCATAAAGGCACACAAGGGTCAGAGGTGTCTGAGGTTAGCACATACTGAAAAGAGAACAGGGACAGGAGAACCAGCAGGACAGGTCCCTCCTCTGTGTGTGGTTGTACCTAGAAATGCTACTAAACATTGATAATGACAATAATTCCTTCATAATGCCAAGTGGCTCTGAGCCTGTCACTTTGTTGAATATGGAAGAGCCCTGTCAGTTTGCAAGAAGGTCAGAGGACAAGGTATCTGTCCTAGGTGATCCAGAAGCCCTCATTTCCACATCCTACTGCAGAACTGAGACAACCCAGCATACCTTCCAAATGGATCATGGTAATGACAAGGTAGAAATTCCCAAATGTGGTGACAGCTGATGACATCTCTCTACTTACAGGCCAGGACTCAGACAGCCCCATCAGGAACACACACACTGGCCAGGTGAGGGGCAGCTTTGTCCACGTGAAGGACACTAAAGCTGGTGTTCACACCTTCCTGGGAATTCCCTTTGCCAAGCCTCCTGTAGGACCACTGCGCTTTGCACCTCCTGAGGACCCTGAGCCATGGAGTGGTGTAAGGGATGGAACCTCAGAGCCTGCCATGTAAGTTCTGGGACCTAGGGGACTTTAGTCCTGTGCTCTAGGTCACAGTGAAGTGCTTCTGCCACCTCAACTCTATAGCAGTTTTCTGCCTGTGCTGAGGGGCATCTCCAATGCATGTTTCTGAAAAATGTGCTAAGGATTACAGTAGAAAAATGGTGCCGGCCTGCTGGGTCAGAGCTTGTTACCTGTGGTGAGTTAGTTGAAGGTACTGCAGTAAGGAGCAAAGACTGTGCCCATTCTTCACTGTCCCTGTGATCACTCATTGTCCCTGTATCATTGAGTAAGGACAAGTACACATGCTTCCAACTGGAGACTATGTGGAACAAGCAGGTACCTCATTGGCACTTGTAAGTGAACTAAAGAATGTCTCACTACCCTATAAAATGATATTCTCCATTCATTTCTATAGTTGTTTCCTGGGCACATTATCCCATGACCCAAGTATCTTTGTTTTATTTCTGTTGCTGTGATAACATATCCTTAGATAACAAATTAGTGAAGACATATTTTATTATGGATGTCACTTCAAGCATATAATCTACCATAGTTGGGAAATCACAGAGACAGAAGTTTAAGAAAGCTGGTTGCATCGCATTCATAATGAGGAACACAGTTTAAACTTATAGGTATGCCTACTAACCTTCACTTACCTTCGTCATTCTTACACAATCCAGCAGCCCCTTCCTAGGGAATGGTGCCTCCTCCCATAGGCAGATATTCCTATTGCAAAGAACATTATCAAGACAACTTTCCACTGGCATGCTGATCTCCCAACAAGATCAAGACAATCTCTTAGTAAGATTCTTTTCCCAGGTTATTCTATGGTGTGTCAAGTCAACAATCAAATCTAACCACCATGCCAGAATTTAGATTTTATATACAGAAGGATTGAATTTTGGAACGGACAGCATATAATTTTCAGTGAAGCTGTCAGAAGTCTCCATAAAGTAGCCCCCCAGGATATAACTATGTATGCCGAGGCCTCAATGAAAAACTTTATCTCTATTTCCATTTGCACAGGACTGGTGGCCTTTACTGTGGTAGGGATATTAGAGAAGAATTATGTTAGCAAGCAATCATGGAAAGCAGTAGCTATGGGTTCCTAAGAGAAAATTCAGACTAAGATATAGATTTGACCACCACATACCTTGGAATTCCTGCCTTCCATTTTCACTAGGTGTCTGCAGACGGATATGATGAATTCAGATGTTTTGAAGGAGATGAAGGTGACCATGCTTCCCATCCCTATGTCTGAAGACTGCCTGTATCTCAACATCTACACACCAGCCCATACCCATGAGGGCTCTAACCTGCCTGTGAGTGTCAGGCTAAATCCATTGATAACAAATCATTTATTTCTGTGGAGAATGGAAAAGAAAAACGTAATTCTCAGCGCTACTGTAGTTAGAACCTTATTAGTAGTCTTACCTTACTGAGTTCAAGAAGGTCATGTCAGCCCATGGTAAGCTGCTTAAACGTATGTGTGCGCATGCACGTGTGTGTGTGCCTGTGCGTATGTGCATGTGTGACTCAGAGTTCTGGGGCTCTGGGAGGTAAGAGGTTCTAGGTACTAGATTAAACAGGAATTCTATCAGTTGACACACCAACTCAGGATGGTGCACAACGGTTGAATATTGATGTCACCCAAATTTCTATCAGCAAGTTATATGCTAGGGGGATCTGAAGCCCATTCATATTAGCAATCAGGAAAGTCACTTAGGAAGACACTCCACTTTTTCTTCTATTTTGATGGGTCTGGGAATAACAATGACTTTAATTTAGATCTGGAGTCTAATCAATGCTGAGATTTTCTTTTGGGAAAACAGGAATGGAAACATGTTCACAGGCCTAAAGCACCTCATCTGTGGCTCACTTCCTGAGATCCTGAGGAGATCTGTTTGTAGGTCGACCTACACAGAACAAAGCAGTTGATAACCTAGTGGGAAGTCTAGATGAGTTTGGGATGTGTGTGGGCCTCCTGGCATATGAGTTGCTGTCTCCAGGTGATGGTGTGGATCCACGGTGGTGCACTGGTTCTAGGATGGGCTTCTATGATTGATGCATCCACGCTGGCAGCTACTGAGGAAATAGTAATTGTCTCCATCCAGTATCGCTTGGGTATCCTTGGTTTCTTCAGGTGAGCCTGGGACTGGGCTGGGTAATGGGGACTAAGTAGTACATGGGCAGCCATGCAATTCTTCTTCCTGCTACTTCTCAGCACTGGAGACCAGCATGCCAGAGGCAACTGGGGATACCTGGACCAAGTGGCTGCCCTACGCTGGGTGCAGAAAAATATCGCTTACTTTGGAGGCAATCCTGACAGGGTCACTATATTTGGTGAATCAGCAGGAGGCACAAGTGTGTCTTCCCATGTTGTGTCCCCAATGTCCCAAGGACTCTTTCATGGAGCCATTATGCAGAGTGGAGTGGCCCTGCTGCCTGGCCTCATCTCTGACACTTCTGAGGGGGTCTACAATGTAAGTGCCCTCAAGAACACCTGCCCCTAAAATGCTACCTCTGTCATTGCCTATGGAGATCTGGTGTTCAGTTAAGGGAATTTTATATATGCTGAGCATGCTATACGACAGCAAATTTCTATCCAGTGGCTTCTGTCATTGACAAAAACACTTATGCATGTATTCTTAATTGGTTTCTTATTGATGTGATAAAGACGATTATCAAAAGCTCCTTGGGGAGGAAAATGTTTCTTTCAGCTCACATCGTATGACCTGTCTTGAGGAAAGTATATACTCAGGCAAGTACCTGGAGGCTAGAACTTAATCAGAGGCAAAAGAACAACACTCTTCCTGGCTTGTTACCTGTGGCTTTCTCAGTTTTCCCTCTTATACAACCCAGAACACCTGCCCATGGATGGCACTGCTACAGTGAGGTGGGCTCTTCTGCATCAGTTATTTCTCATGAAAATGCCCAGATTTTCCTAGGGACTAATCTGGTAGAGGAAATTTTTTCAGCTGAAGTACCTCTTTCCAGATGATCATAGATTGTGTTGAGAAAAAGAAATCTAATAAGAACACATGAATTGCTGGAAAGAACCAGCTGGTAAAAATATTTGCTGTGCAAGTGTGAGGTTCCAAGTTTAAATCTTCTGAATCCATACAAAGCTGATGGTGACAATAAGTGTCAGAAACTCCAGTGTTCCTATGGCAGTATAGAAAACAAAGACAGAAGACTCCGGGGAAGATCATATGCCGGCCAATCTTGTGTACACAAGTGCAAACAAGGGATATCCTGACATGTAACAGCTGAAACTGTTCTCTGACCTTCATGGGCAAAATGTGCTACACCATACCTATTGTCACCCATGAGTAACACACACACACACACACACACACACATGCACAAACACACACAGACACCAAAGTAACAACAAAACAATATGCAGGTAGAAT